GAACGTACTTCCGGTTCGTGCAGAAACTTCACTCATCCGCAAGCATGCAAACTGTGAGACAGCCCACCAAATTGTGGTATGCCTCATTAGAATCGCAATGTTGGCTGCATAAAAAAGCGAATGGTGTTGTAGGAGCCCAAATTTTCTCTTGGTTTGTATACTTTTTCTCACTTTTTCGTAAAGTATGCAATCTTGCTCTGATGATGTCGGCCACGAAGGGACAGACGAAAGCTTAGCACAGCTTCATCGTGGTTGCAGGATGGTGAGCCGAATATTACTTCGCACAATTCAACAATCTTCTCTTCGCGACCGTCCTCCATCAGTTTTCGGTGAGACCGAATCATGAATTCATTCCAACCAACTTTCCCTTCGAAATGGACAGTCATGCAACAATTCTGTACCGTGTATGAATAGAACCTGCTACGTTTTAGAAGAGTTACGGTTGTATATTTAAGTATTTAGGGAGGGTAAGTTGTGTAACATTACTCAAGAAAACTTAACTAGTCTTATAAGACATTACTTAGTATCTCTTCCGATTATGTCTGTGTATTCTTGCTTGTTCCTAGTACATATTACTTATTAGTATACAAGTAGCAACCGGGATTTTCACCATAAATGCGATTTCCTAAACTGCATCTAAGAGTGGGATAACCTTTAAATTCATATCTATTTTGTAATTCACCTCTGTGGTTGAGTATATACAGTCCGGCTAGGACACTTTTGGCTTGTTGGGTGGCAGTTTAGTGTAAAATTGTCATCCACTTATACTTGTTGTTGTGCAGCGTACTGGTTGGTACCCGGGCTCGACCCAGACTGGAGTCCCGCTGTGGGCTCTGATGAAAGACAGTGAAGCAAAGTCAAATCCGTCGTCCCGTCGGGATAAAACAGCTTTTTGGAGCCAAGCTTTGATGAAATCCGAGGGTTGTGGGAAAACTCAACCCTTTTGCTTCAACTCTATTTTAGCAATTTGGGCATCTGATAATTTTGTTTGCTAATTTATGCCAACTTCAATTAAATTTTGAATGAAAGTGGGTGATGGAGAGCTTCACAGGTCAAGCCCACCAGGAGACGACAAGCAGCGAATTTTTTTTTACCAGCCGTCGGTTGGCTCCCCTCGAACATTCTGGCTGACGTTTCTAAATTGAGATGAATCACAAACGAACTAAATAGCTCTATGCTTTACTA